GTCAGGGCTCGGGCTCCGCGCGGGGGCCTGACGCTCAGCCTTGGGGCCCAGCAGCCCCGGGCCTCGGGCTCCAGAGAGACGCGGTGGAGCTGCGCACAGCGCCGCCGCCGGCCAGCGGGGACGGGGTTAAGGATGGGTGACCCCATCCGGCTCCTCAGGAGGCCGTGTGTGCGTGTGTGTGTGTGCGTGTGTGTGTGTGTGTGTGTGTGTGTGTGTAGGAGGGGGTCCCTGTGGGTGGGGGAAGAGTTTAGGCTTTGGCAGGCACCTGGGGTTCAGAGCCCCTGCCCCCAACAGCAACACACACACCTGGGGAATGGAGGGGGGCTGCCAGGAAAGGGGGAAAGAATGCAGCGGGTTGTTCTGGGGGGGCAGAGAGGCAGGCCAGCGCTGGCACACCTGCTCTCTTCCCATTGGGGACACAGCTGTCAGCCGAGCATGCAGAAGCAACAGCACAGACTGGCAGCCTTTCATAGCTACAAAGACGAGCCTGGAGAGAACAGCCCTTCTCTTGACAGATGAAGAAATTTAGTCTCAGGTTGAGTGGCTTTCCCCAAGTCACCTCAAGTCACCACATTCCTCATCAGTCTTTCCCTGTCTCATCCACGTGTCTCTTTAAGTGACAGGCACAGGGGGAGGGAGGAGAGTGGCATCCTTCTGAGGTGGTGGAGACTGGGGGTCTTCCTCTAATTCCTCAGCACCATAGTGCCTGTCCCCAGAGATGGGAGGATCCTACACCCCAGCAGACACCAAGGATGTGGGAGGACCGTGAAAGAAGTGGAAGCTGGGCAGAGGGATCCGGGAAGGAGCCAGGGACAGCTGCTCAGAGTTCCCAACTCCTGGGTGTCTGCATGTGGTATGGAGCCTGGGGCTCTGAGGGACACATGGGCTCACATGTCACACTCAGCATATGGAGTGTATGCAGGAGGCTGTGTGACCTGAGTAGACCCAAGGTCATGCTGAGGTGCCAGGGAGAGGTGTGTTGAGGATGGGGCTGGGGTGGGGAGGAAGGTGGGCAGAAGAGGAAGGTGGCTGCCCCAGCCCTAGGAGGGGGGAAGTCAGGGTGTTGTCATTAACTGCGGTGGAGGGGAGAGAGGTGAGAGGAAAGTGGGGGCCCTGTGGCTTTTCCTCACGCCAAGGGACACCAGTGCTCTTCAGTGCTGGCTGAGTGGATGCCCGTGATCAGAGCGGCCCTAGTGAGGGCGAGGACCAGCCTGAGGGGGAGGCAGTGGCCCAGGCTCTCCTCGTCAGAGCCACCCAGATCTCAGGTGGTCCTAACAGCGTGGTTTTTCAGGCTTTGAGGGCAACAGGCCACCTGTGCCAGTGAGCTTCTGTCTGCTGGGAAGCAGCAGCAGTCTGTCCACCAGTACGGGCTGGAGGGAGGGATTTTGAGAGTGGTACCCCTTCAGGCCCTGGAGGAGTGGTCCTGGGGGCAGGGGCGGGGGATGGGTAGAGAGGAAGACAGGTCTGAGGCTTAGCTTGTAACCAGGGAGCCCTTCCCTACTATCAGGAAACAAACTGTGCAGAAGGCAGGTGGAGGCGGGGGAGGCAGGTTTCAGCCAGGGCCTCGCCTCTGAGGAGCTCCTGAGAACCGAGTCTGGGAGGATGGTGGAGCCCGTGTCCTGTCCTGCCCATCCATCCTCAGGTCTAATGGTGTGGCAGTGGGACTGTGGCTACAGAACATCTGGGTTAGGGCTTGAGTTCAGCATGGAACAGCCTCTGCCTCCTTGAAACATCACAGAAGCAAAGGCCATTTGGGGTTAGAAGGTACTCTCATTGCCCTGGTTTACATGGAGCAAACTGATGCTGGGGCTGGTTGGAGGTGTGTCCCTGCATCTCCATCACAGTCACGTTTACTATAACGGCCTGTTGAACTGTACAGCTTCCCCGCTGAACTGCGAGTTCCAGGAGGATGGGGGTTGTGTCCGCCTCATTCTCTGGTTTTCCCAGAGCTTAGCTCAGTGCCTGGCACCAAGGAGGCCCTCATTCAAGGAATGGGGAATGGAAGGGAGGGATGGCCAACATTCACACTCAACCCCTCAGTGGCAAGCTCACAGCCTCCTGCAAGAATGACATGAAGTGCCAAACCTCAGTAATTTGGAATTTGCAATAATACACAGTCATACAGACACTGCCACCTTGATGCCAATGAGTGAAAGCTGAAAGTAACAACTCTCTCTTTTTAGGTCTTTTTCATGCTGGAGAGGCATAAGGAGAAGAAACACTTTACACTTGGCTAGCACTTAAGACCTTTCTAAATTCTTTTGTATAAATGATCTAATTTGATATTTACAATAACCTTGGGAGGCAGAAGAGAGATAAGGTTGTTAGTTTGGTCAGCTACCTCCTAGCTGCCAGCAAGACGGGAGGCGTCCGGATCCTGCAGAACAGGGCCTGACCCAGCCGAGGGAGTGCAGCCTGCTCGGGAGATCACACCATCTCTTCATCGCCCTTCTAGGGAAGGACGGGCCAGCTGGAGAAAAACATCCCTTAGAAAATATACCCAACGCTGGAAGAGAATCAAGTCCAGACATAAGCCTCACATTTATGTTCAAATGACTTTTGGTAAGGGTGCTGGGACCATTCAATGGGGTAGGGGGGAAGGGAGGAAAGTCTTTCTACCAAATGGTGTTGGGACAACTGGATTTCCACATGCAAAAGAATGGAGTTGGATGCCTACCTCATACCACTGACAAAAATTAACCCAAAATGGATCACAGACTTAATGTAAGAGCTAAAATTAGAAAAATCTTACAAGAACGCATGTATAATCTTCGTGACCTTGGATTAGGTAATGGTTTCTTAGATCTGACACCAAAAGCACAAGTTACAAAAGGAAAATTAGATATATTCGTCTTCATCAAGTTAAAAACTTTTGTGCTTCAAAGGACACCATCAAGAAAATGCAAAGACAACCCACAGACTGGGAGAAAGCATGTATATGATAAGGGACTTGTGTCCATAATGTATTAAGAGCTCTTACAATTTAACAATAAAAAGACAACTC